AGTTAAATATGTGTTGTAATTGAATCTAGTAGCTTTTCTGATATCATTAAGTGGCAATCAATAAACAAGTATCCATCAAAAGTCTATTGTATGCAGTGGACCTTGATTCAATGCCATCAGAGAAAGAGAATGCCATTCTATCTCCTACTAATCCAAACTATTCTCTTCATACTTTGGTGGATGTCTAACTGCCATTATAATTGTGTTTGTTAATGTAAAGATCATGGAAAAAACAGAAACGATGTGAGAGTAAGAATATGCCTTTTGGCTCTAATTTACCTTCATGTTATGAAGGATGACACATTCTCTTATGGCCTTGCCCCTGATGGTGGTGGGATCAAACATCTTGATCTGTCTTTTGACTCTTCAAAGTCTGAAAACACATTAATTCCAGTGTGTATTTTTCCTGGAGAATCCAATAAATTTTCCTGTTCATAGTGACTAGTATTAGGGAAAAGCAGTGGAGTCAAAGTGTAGAGCAAGTTGTGAATGTTTGGAAGTTATAATCATTGAACTTTAATCTCTAATTGTTAGAGTGTGTGAAGTTGTAGGAGTCTTTTTATGAATATTCCGCTTTACCCATTTTGTTTTCTCCTTGCTTCCCTTGAATCCCAACAAAAATAATGAGTTGGTGATCCTCTGCCTTTTGTGAAAGTCTTTAAAAGCTTTTATCTGTTCAAGAAAGCATTGAAAAATTATTAATGTGAAGTAATAAAATTAAAGCATACTTAAGACTATTTTGAGTTAGTTTCTAATATAATCTATTATTTGCTTTGACAGACAGTTAAGTGATTTTTACTTTTTAAAAAGTTCCTGTATTAGTGAAGTTTTTCCCCCTGTAGGTTAACTTTAGGAATTTGCAATAGAGTACATACTCATTGACTCCTGTAGAGTTATTACTCCTGGAAAGTCAGTCTTCTTAATTACTCATTAGAATACCAATCGATATGCACATCTTCATCATAATTATACAATGGCTGAGGGAAAATGACTTTGAAGTCTGTCTCTCAGTTTAATCATGTGGCTCTATTTTAAAATACAAATAATAGAATAAAAACATTTTCCATAAAATTTCTGATATCTAATTAATGTCTTCCAGAATAACTGTGGTATCAAACATTTCCTCTAATTATATTCATTAGGGGCTTCTCCTGGACAAGTTTTAATTAAGTTGTACAATGAAGATCAATACTCCTTGTGTATTCATTGTAATTTACAACAAGCATATGTACTGTTCAGAACAATTTAATTACTGTAATTGTAGCACAAAACGTACTTGGTGACTGTGCTCCATTACTGTCAATCCTCTTTTTTAATAAATTTGATAGTGAAATTGGGAAATGAATTTCTGAAAATTCAAATTTATATATACCTTGTGTCTAAACTTCTGTTTTTTATATAAATAACTTTTTATCTTTTTATGTTTCTATTTTTTTTTATAACTAGTAGGGCAAATGGCAGAGTGCTTTGTCACTCTGTCATGTATGCTATCATGAATGTGGAGAAATTACTAGAGTGTAAATAAGAATACATGTAATAATTATATTGGTTATGTGAAAAATAATTTAGGGGCCTTGTGTAGTCAGCGTATTCTTGTTATTTCCCTAAATAAGACTGAACTTTTAAAATATTTTTTAAAATAGGCATATTATTTTAGTTCATAAGAAATGCCTCTAAATATGCTAACCTCTGTTAATGAAGATCATGATGCTACTGATGTACTGCACAAAGAATTATGAAAGTAGAGGTTTTCAAGTAGAATCAATAGGTCTATAACAGGGCTTCTCAACTTTGGCACTAGTGATATTGGGGCCAGATAATTCTTTCCTGGATGTGTTGCTGTGTCTTGCAGGACGTTTAACTGCATGCCTGACTTCTTCCCATTGAATGTCAGTAGCAAATATTCCCTCTACACCCCAGTTTTTACAGTCAAAAATGTCTCCAAACATTATCAGATATTCATGTTGAGAACCACTGGTGTATGCTGATTCAGCCACACCCTCCTGATCTGCCCACTGACCAGATGATTCATTCATAAGACAAACAACTATTCAGCTGTTCTGTGCTCGGGCTAGGTTCATAGGCATGAGTCAAACATGGTGGGCTTTTTTTAGATTTTTTGAGATAAATAAGAACTGGGTGCTAATAGAATATTCAGTAATAATATCTAACTCAGATTTAGAAAAGGGAGGATTAGAGCTGGCTTCTTGAAGAGGGTAGTTCCTGAAATATGTTTTGAAGGACAAATGAAAATTTAGCTATTTAGAAGGGGAAAAGGGCATTTGAGACAGCTAAAGCAGCTTGTTCAAAGCTTGGAGATAAAAGAAAGACATACATTTTAAAATTTGGGTATAAATTTTAGTTATTTTCTCTGAGATATCAAGTCCTATTTTTTATGCATTATATGAACAAGATTAAATTATAGTAATCTGAAAGTAATTGCCTAAAACACCTATTTTTACGTTCTTTTCCTCAATTTCCAATTCAGTAATGATATATGTAAATATCTTCTTTGCATTATGAATTTTATGAAATTATTTGTCTTATGGAGGAAAGCAATTTTAGACAGTAGTGGGAAGTGACATACATGTATTTCCTGTTAACCTCCTAATCTGTCTGAAGAAAGCCTTTTAACAAGACCACTATAAGTAAAATTATATAGATTTCTATTGCGGTTATTTTTATGTATTTTGTAGTATATTACAATATTGAAAACTCCCAATAGATTGTATTAACAGTCACACCAGTATTTTGGGGTTATTCATTTACTTCCACACATGTTTTGAGGGAAAAAAAAAAAGTAAAATGGTAAAAAGAGTAAATGAGATTAAAAGCTAATTCAAGTCAGGGTAACTAAATTTCAAAAAGACATCTGGAATTCTGTTAGTAATAATGAATATTTCAAATCTACATATTACAAGGTCTGCAAGGAATGCTGTGTTTCTCATGGCAGGCTGGTTATGAATTCTTAGAATTCCTATGCACATCAGTTTGCCACCACAGGATTAAGTTCAATTTGACTGCCATCATAGTGACACCCTTAGTTTGCTGATTTGCTCCACTTTACCTAATCTACACAGATAGGCTGCTGCTCAATATCAAAGATGTATTCAGTGAATCCTTAAGATGAATAAACATAACAATTCAGGTTCTGTACTCCCCTGATATTTAGTCATGTCTAGACACAACCCTAGTGTCCCAGAAAAACTAAAATGAGGACAAGGACATTTAAGTTTAATGTAGCCTTATTCCCATGGAAACCAGAAAAGCCGACAATAGAGTAAAAAGAGAAGAGGATGGATCTAGCTGAAAAATTAGATCTTGTGGAATGACTGGCAGGATTTGCAAGATCAGTGGGTAGTAGAACAATTTCGGTTTATTTGTTGTTTTCGTTGTTTTAAATAAGTTTTTCAGTTAGATAATTATCCCTCTAAAAAATTAATAATTTCACAAATTAGTTTACTTATTTATTATTCCATAAAGCCGATGTGATGATGTGTGTAGGCTAAAGATTATATGGCATAGAGAGAGAAATAAAGAAGTATGTTTAGCAACAATTACAAATATATATATTAATATTATATGGTATTCAGCATGTTTCTGTATTTTCTACAGATTATAAGTTGTTGATTTGTTTTCATGTTACTTATAGACTTTTAAATTGATTTATAAGAAACTTATGTTCACAAGTGTACATTTGTCTCATTATTTGTTGCTTGTGTGAAATAAAATCATAGATAGTAAGTTTCAAAGGCACAGAATTTCTGTAGCATGTAGAAAATCTCAACTTCATTTATGATTCTGATTTATCTTATATTCTCTTAAAATAATGATTTTATCTTACATTCTCTTTAAATATAATTTTATGTTATATTATCTTCAACGTATTACAACACATTTCCTAGCCTATCAACTGTTACTCATTTAGTACCCCAGGCTTACACTTTCAGATAGAATCGTCCTTTTAGGATTGATGGCATTTCATAATACTGGGTCTCAAACGTAGTTTAAAGAAGCTTTCATTAGGAATAACCCAGGCATTTGCCTTTTGAGTCCATATGCCAGGTTCATTCAAAGTGGTTCAGTTGTACAGTGACCTAAGGTAGATCTATGTGAGTTAGGTATAATAGGTGGGGAAGATAATGATTTGTGATCCAGATCTAAAGCCCTGGACTATTTTCCAGGGACAATATATAAACATGTGTATGAGTGTGCATGCCTGTGTTTATATACTCATGCATGGCTTCATTTTTTAATGATGGTATTCAGACTTCCATCTTGGTAGTTTCCAAATATCTTAGGATTTCCACACATAATGACTCTGACAGTTTCTATTTGAAGCACATTTTAGACTATGGCTAGGTTTAGGTAGAAGATATCTTTGGGAATGCAGTGGACTCAACCATAACAAAAACACCAAGAACTGCTACAATTTCCTTGTCTTGGTTAAAGGTGTGTAGATTTATTTCTTAATTAAACTTGCAATTTGGGTTACAGATTTTGGTTAATATAAAAAAAAATGTTACAAGCTTGGGAATAGTTTACTATTGTTTAGTGTAAATTATTTGTTAATTGCTTCATAATAGGTTTCCAGAAGAAAATAAAATACATGTAGCTACAATTTTATGGCTGCAACTTAATCTCAAGACCTAAAAAGCAGCATAGGAAATTCATTTTTATGGGCCTTTCTTTCATTTTTTTTCTTTATCTTATTATTAGTCCTTTTTATTTGTCCTTGTTTGGCAAAAAAAAAAAAAAAAAAAGCATTTAGGGTAATGATTTATGTATACACGTTTGTTGTAATTGTTCTCTAAGTGTTTACTAAAAATCACATGTTCTCTTTTATCCCAAAATATTTTCTTTAAATTATGCCTTTTGTATTCATCATAATGAAAACTCAGTCTAATTTTAGTTATGTAAACAATATGCACTTTTAATAACAACATCAAAATAGGGATACACTGTATGTTTCACTCAGTTTTGTGTTCTTTCTATTTCAGTGAATTTATTGGATTCACGAACTGTCATGGGGGACTTGGGATGGATTGCTTTTCCAAAAAATGGGGTAAGTTTTTATGAAATTTTCTCAAAAACTCAAGCTACATGCATAGGCATCATGCTAAATGTTACATGAGGTTGAAAATTCACTGGATATATTTCTTAAGAGAGGAGGGGTTTGCATGTATTAGGGGCGGGAGGAACCTCAAATTAGTTCTGACAGGGAAAAGGTAACCATAGGGAAGTGTTTGCAATGACTGAATAACAAATATATTATCTTCCTCTTTGAGAATTTCTCCACAGAGTAATGTGGAGTTTCCTTCAACATTCAGGAAAATTTCAGTTTGAAGCAACTAACAAACTTTCAAAATTAATTAATATAAAAAAAGTATTTGATTTGCTGCTGATTTGTAATAATCATGGTGATATTATATGAGAAATAAAATTTAACATGTCTATGACCAGTGTTGATTCAAAGCTGGGACCAATTTATTTTTTATTTAATTTTCAGAATTAAGGAGTGAAAATATTATAAGAAATTCCTTTAAATTCCATTGAGATTAAAAATTTCTCAGATTATTAGATTTTTTTTTTTTTCCATTCAAAGGTTGTGTTCCACTTCTTGGATTTTTCTTCACTGAAAACTTTTCAGAAAAGATGTTTTTATTGGAAGATTTTTATAATTAACAATATTTTTTAGTAAGTAATTTTAATGTTTCCAATAAAAAGTCTTTTGAGTGAAAATTATATGTAAGTTTATTTTAGCAATATACATCTCAAAGTGTCTATAATAATAAAAATCATACTACCTTTAGATTAAAAAGGTTCCCAATTACCTTCTACTCAATTCACAATGCATCCATGTTATCAGATGGATAATAAAAATATAACTAAAATGTTATGATATAAGATCATCACATTCACAGAAAATGTTAAATTTATTGTGTGACTTACATTAAAAAGCAATTTGGACTTTGAGAGATTTTTATTACCTAATAACTTTAGTATTTTAATATTTTCTAGTTTTCAAGCTAAAAGTATACAGCCTCATTATAGAACCATGTTGAGACAAAGGCAGATAATATTTTCTATTATCCTCTTTAAGAAAATTATTTAAATAATTTGACTACTTAAAATTATTATAATATAGTGTATATAGGCAATTAGTTAAAAATTATGCATGCTGATAATATTTTTCATGACATTGGAGGTTAATTTCAGTTTTAGTAATCAAATATAAAAAATCTGGTTATAACAACCTGAATAGCTAAAAATTATATATATTTTTTTAATTAATGAGAAAACCAAGTGTGTTAAACAGTCCTTTAGTAAGAAAGTTATTATTAAGGAAGTAAAACAAGTAGTATTGATTGTTCTTATTCATCATAATATATATAGGAGTACTTCAAAAAGTAGCAAAGAAAAATGGAGTTAAAAAATAATGCAAACTTTCCATGAACTTTTTCAAGATCCTTCATATGTTAACATCTTAGATCTCAGTATACTGTCCTGTTTTTCATCAATTTGATATTTGTTTTAAATTGTTAAAAGTTATGATTACATTTAGAGATATAATATTTAAAAAGCTATACTAGTACATTGTTAAGATATTTGAACATAAAGGTAGGGCAAAGGAAAAAACATTGTACAACACAGATACAGTAAGTGTCAATGTAATGGTATATATTCTAATAGTCTGTGCCTCTTATATCTTTCTTACACTTTTCTTTCTTTCTCCCCCTACCCCCAATTTTTTCTTTCTTTCATCTGTCATTACCTCTATAAAAGTAAATGTCTGGCTAATATCTATGAAAACGTATGTGTATACACATACACACACATGTCTCTGTGTGTGTGTGTATACATACACTTTATTTCATGTACCAAAAATGATTTATTGAATAAATATTTTAAATGCCCTTTCTGAGAAAATGGCTCACATGTTGTGTTGAAATTAATTTTTTAGAATCCTGAGAATATATGTAATATTCTCTTTGAATTTGGTTTTGTCTTTTTCTCCTGTTTCCACTCAGAAGTTATTTAAAAGAATTTTCACAGAGTGTATCTGTGAGAGTATAAATATGATGTTGTAGTTTATCTTGCAACAAGAAATAATTTTGGGGGAAAATTAATCAACTTGTACATGATTTCAGTATAAAACACCATAGATTTTTCTATAAAAACATAATCACTTTATAAAAAATGAGATCTTTCTAATCATTCTAATACCTACATGCATTTTCTTTCTATTGTAACTGTTAGTATAGTGCTGATTTTGCTCTTTTTTTTTTTTTGTCCTTTTTGAGACTGGCCGCACCGCGCTCAGCCAGTGAGCACTGTGAGTGCACCAGCCATCCCTATATAAGATCCGAACCCGCGGCAGGAGCGCTGCTGCGCTCCCAGTGCCGCACTCTCCCGAGTGCGCCACGGGCTCGGCCCTTTGCTCAGTTTTTGTAAACAATGAGTATCTTTTTCAAAATTCTTATAATTTTTTAATGAGTGTGCTCCCTTTGACATAGCCGTATCTGATATTAATATTGAAAAAAGAGATGATAATTTAGAGGAGCTTAGTGAACGTGTATTTGTTCAAGTGTGGAAAATGTATGTGGAATCTAGGCATTATATTTTGTATTATTTCACTCAAATGCAAAAATTAAGAAAATAAAAATATATAAACTTCTAATATATTTTAGTAGGCTATACCATTTAAGATTAGATAAGCAATATAATCCTAGATGAAATACAGATCATCAGGATGAGGTCAACGAAATTTGTAAAATAAGGACCTCCAAAAATTTTCACCTCAATGAAGCTATAAGAAAGTGGAAAAAATTTTTCACAATTAACTTTCTCAGAACCATGGAAATCAACCAAAATTTTGAAGCAATATGGGGAATATTAAGTAAAGGAAAAAATGACTGAATCTTGTAATAATAACAAGGTTTGTGGCATTTCAACTTCCCCTATATCCTTTCTACCTCTCTAGCTCTGAGGTAGCCTTGAAAAGCCAAAACCTGCTCTCATGGAGAAAACCAGCAGCCTGGTAGACACTGGAGGGAGCAGAATGGGATAGGAGATACTTTAAGTTTTAATTCTAGAGAATTGTCATTATTTGACCTGTCGATATCTTCCTGGAGGACTACAATGTGAGACTGTCTTGATTCAACCTGACGTAGAGCTCTCCCAGTCTAAAAACTTTTCCCCAGGTAGATATTTATCAAAAAGAGAGGCTATTGCCTAACTTTTTGTCTGTCTGAGAAAGTGGATAAAGTTTGGGACAAATAATAGGCTAGCTAACCAAAAAATCTTGGAAGGAATAGCTGGAGAATGAGATGTTCATTGGGACTTTAAAATATTATAGCATATTATTGAGAATCTAGAAGGCACATGTGTAGGGCTGTGCACATGCCTGAGGATATATGTATCCTCAGGAAAGATATGAGAAAGGCCTAAGTTTTTACTGCTGACTGACCTTGAGTATCTGCACAAGCAGGAACAAGCAGGGACAAGTAGGAAGTGAAGGTTAAGGCAGCATCTTTAGTTACTTAGCATAATATTGAAAACTTGTTCCACAATGCACACATAGACCCTCAGCAAAGATGTGGACAGTTAATGGTTATGTCCAAGCACTAGTTTACAAGTAAGCACTAGCCATTTGATGGCTACACATGTCAAAGAAAAGGAGTGTACAGAATCTACAAAAGTTATTAATCACACAAACAACCACAAACCCCCAAAAGTGGCGAGAATCTAATTTGCAGAGTTGTCACACTATATTATTTAATATGGCTAATTTTCAACAAAAAATATGACACATGCAAAGAAGAAAGTGTTGCTAATATGCAAGACAAAAGAAATCAATAGAAGCTGTGCTGAGAATGCTTCAATATTTGACTTTCTAGATGAGTATTTTATTTAACTATTTTTAGTATGCTGAAAGAACTAAAGAAGATGATGTCTAAAAAACTAAAGGAATGTGTAAGAATGATGTTGTCTTATCAAATTCAGAATATCGATGAAGAGAGAAATTATTAAAACAAAATTCTAGAGTTGAAAAGTGCAATAACTGAAATGAAAAATTATTTACTACAGAGGCTTAATAACAGATTTGAACAAGCAGAAAAAAGAATCAGCAAACAGGACATACAATCTGAGGAACAGAAAAAAAAAAGTAATGAAGAAAAAAATACATAGAACTTCAGAGACCTAAGGAACAACATAGACATAATGGGAATCTCAGAAGAAGAGGAGAGGCCAAAAGGGTCAGAACAAACATTTGACAAATTAATGGACATAAACTTTCCAAATTTGATGAAAAATATTAATACACACATTCAAGAAACTTGAGAAACTTAAGTAGAATAAACTCAAAGAGATCCACAACTGGACAGTTAAACTGTCAAAAGCCAAAGAAAGACAATTTTGAAAGCAGCAAGAGGGGAACTTGTGTATAAGAGATTCTCAATACTATTAACAGCTGATTTCTCAATAGAAACAATGGGGCCAGATAGAGGTTGGATGGCGTATTCAAAATGCTGAAAGAAGACGACTGTCAAGCAAGAATTCCTTACCTGTAAAACTGTCCTTCACAAATGAAGGAGAAATTAAAATATTCTCAAATAATGATAATCTGAGAGAATATAAATTATCAGAATTAAATATTTTCCTCCAGAAATATAATCTTAGAAATAGGTTATACATATTTGGAATTCAACTATTTTTCAGAGAAAACTGCATCTTTATTTTCTTTTAAAATTGTGTCTCTTATCCTCTCTACTTCATCTTCAGAGAGAAACATATAAGCTAAGGAATTACGTATTTTTTCCTCAGGTGTGATAAACTCATTTTAAGAAGTAACAGTTAATTTTAGAATAGTTTATGATATAGTTTTATGATTTGATATAGTATTTTAATAAAGAACACAATGCTTCTGTTCTAATTTCTGTGTTTGTAGATATAAGGCTTTTTAAATCATTTGATTTCAAATTCAAATAGTATGATTTTCACATTAACATAGTTATCAAAAGTCAAGTATGATTTTTATTAAATGGCCTTAAATATTGTGTG